ACCAAGCAATAGATTATCAAAAATAATCTAATATTGCAGAGATGTGTGGAAGCACTGGATCAGGTCCCTCTGGCAACATACATGTTCCTCAGGAGGATTAAATATTTAAAACAATTATATAAATAAAATAAATCAATTAAAATAAAACGATAAAATAAAAATATCCCCCCTCTAATTCCGAGGTCCTTTTTGGGATCAAAAACCTTTGAAAATTACACTGTTCCTCTCCACACAAATCCAAATTGTTCTTATTCTAAAGAGGACCTTTACCCATATCTTTAAAACAACAACAAACACAGCTTTAGAAATGTTTACCAATGACAATCTACAAACTACAAACACATACTTCTAGATAATTGCAGGCTTTATATTCTTTGCATACCTTATTTATGTTTTCTTTCCCAGTCTTCTGGCAGTGGCCATGTTAACTAAGGGCAGATTACTAGCACATCATCTCATGGGAGGAAAGTGCCTTTCCCTAAGATCTCATGAGATTACAGTTGAGATTTCTCAGCAATGCTCCGCTGATCTTACCTTTCCAGGATGCAATGCTTGGGCGCATTACATCATTTGTGCAGGAACTGGACCAGGAAGTAGATGAACTGTATTTGTAAGTAAATGAAAAAGTTTGTTTAACTAATGAATGTATAATGATTATAAATCAGCATGCAGAGCTGCATGCTGCTGTGTTTTTTTAGTAAAAGGGGTAAAGGTCCACTTTAATGACCTCTGCAGGTTTCATTATTTGTATTGGTCGTACTGTAAAACCAAACAGGAAAAAAGAAAATCATTAAATTAAATGGTGAATTTTCACTTTGAACTTTTCCATTCTGCTATATTACAAAAAAAATGCCCTTTGTTGTTTTTATTTTGAGGTTGATTTCCAGGTTTACAATAATGACACAAAGGTTGCTTGAGGAAAATGAAAGACAAATAATGTTTTCCTTTCCACCTACTTACAAGATATAAAATAAAAACATATGATTCCAAAAATTCTTCAAAATTAAAGACTTGTCTGTTTTTCAGCATTAAGGTACTGCCCACAACCTGCCTTCCCTCAGGCAGAAGACTTTATTCTTGAATTCCTCTTCAAAGCAAATCATTCAGTAAAATTATTCCAAACTCTCCCCTTACCTTGTTATAATTATCTCCACTTATCTACCTCTCCAGTTTCCCTCATCAATGAAATATCCCTAAATATTGCTAGCAATGATTGACGATACCCAGTATTGTAGATAATTAAATGCTCTATGGTAGGTACCCTCAGACACAAGTAACAGTGCTGGGTAATAGTGATGAGCTGCTCAGACCCCAAGCAGTGCATGGTGGTGGTGGTGGGGGGGAGGGGGTGGTAGACAGGGCTGGGCATATCTTATGAAGTAGAAGGATTTTACTGGCAGTTGTGGGGAAGTGGTGGCAAAGGCATAATATAAAAGTATAGGCACTGTGGGTGCCTAGCACAGGTAGGAAGTGTGTTTAGAAGAGGGTAATATTTTCTTTTTTTTATATGACATTGCAAAATTGTTTATTTTTTTTAAAGATTCATTTTGCAAATGTTATCCTGTGTCTTTTGTAACTATTTGCTATGCACAAATTTCAGTAAACTCATTTAGCGCAGATCTGAGGAACAGCTGGGTATCTGCAAATTTCTTTTGCCTAATCCACCAATGTATTGCAATTGTTTGTTGAAAACTGACATGGGGTGGTAATAAAATGACACAGGAATAATGTTTTGTTTCTGTTGAATCAGGTCAGAACTAGAACAGAAAATTCAAAGTTTCTGCTACATATTCTCACACACAAGGTGCCCATACGCACAAAAATCATCACCAAAAGTATTTTTTTCCACCTAATTTGCAAGTGGTGAATGTATAGGCTGCTCCCTGATATTCTAACCCAGTTCTTATCCACTTAGATATGATTTAGAGTAGCATTTCTCAACCAGGGTCCCGTGCCTGCCGACTTCTTCAAGGGTGCCTTGAAATTTTGTGATGGTAGGACTCGAGGGTAGGACTCGAGGGATATGAAGAGGGTTCTGATATAAAGGGGGACTCTGGTGTGAAGGGAAGCTTCCAATGTAAAGGGGGAAGCTCCTGATGTGAAAGAAGGGGGCTCTTATATAAAAGGGGGCTCCTAATGTGAATGGAGTCTCCTGATGTGAAGGTGGACTCCGATGCTATTTTGCTGTGTTCCAGAGCTGTTTTTTTTTAGCTTAAAATGGGTGCAGTTCAGTGAATTCCAGTGCGTTTGCATGTGTTTTTATGCGTTTTTGATGCATTTCCTTGCCTTCCAGTGCATAACAGACCAGAGAAAATGAGACAAGCAGTTTTTTTTTTGTCTAGTCCTAAACAGACTGTGCTGTTGTGAGCAGAGCTTAGAAATACCATAGTGATGCATTGCAATGCTTTTTTGGTCCAGGAACAAACTGTTCTGGTCTGGAAATGATCCGGACATTATGTGAACAAGCCCTTAGAGAGGATGTTTTTTTTTGTCACCTGAATGAACTGAAAGTTTGGCTGGGGTGACAAATAGCCAGCTGATGTACTCTTACTAAAATAGCATCATTGTCTTCCCACTTATAGATATGCAGTTTATATCCTCTTTACTCAGCAAGACTCCTTCGGATCTAATCAGAGTGAGCTCCCATAAAACTCATCCGATATGTTTATAGCATTGCAATATTTTATCAATTTGTGGTACTGCGTGTTCTATGACCAGGTAATATATAACAATGGAACCATATTGCATGACATAACAGACCAATAAGCAGACCAAGAAGCAGATGGCTTTCTACATATAAACTGTAACATACTGCACCATCAGTATTTCAAATGTCTGATACTCCTCAGACCTGTCAAGGCATTTAAGTGAAGTTAGAACAGAAGAACATAAATGGAAACTGGGTGGTCTAAAAATATCAGACATTGCTTTTTATAAAATAAAATATACCGTAGGCTTTATATTATTGGAATGTTTAGTACTGTCAGGATAGCAACAACTAAACAGAAAAAAATGCAAGCATTGCTCTGTGAACAAAAAAAACAGAGTACAGCATATTAGATAGATAGATAGATAGATAGATAGATAGATAGATAGATAGATAGATAGATAGATAGATAGATAGATAGATACACATTTCTGCAATATTTTTCAAAATACACTCCTTCCTAACCAATGACAACACCAAGCTACCTATTCATACCTTTTTATCTCTTGTGTTGGCCATTGCAACTCCCTCCTTACTGGCCTAACTATATATAGGCGATCTCCACTGCAGTCTATCATGAATGCGGCTTACAGACTTATCCACCTTACTATCCACTCAACGTCAGCCACCCCTCTCTGCTGATCCCTCCACTGGCTTCCACTTGCTCAACAAATAAGAATGAAAATACAAACACCACAAACCAAACAAAGCGCTCCACATCTCTGCCCCCAGCTACATCACCAACCCCATCTCAAAAATATCACCCAAACCAAGCTCTTCGCTCATCCCAGTACCGCCTGCTCTCCTGCCCCCATCACCTCCTCCGATGCTCGCTACCAGGACTTCTCTAGAGTCTCTCCCATCTTCCGGAACTCCCTAACTCAACCTGCCCAGCTATCTCCTACTATGTTTGCCTTCAAATGATTCC